AGACACGAGCGCTAGCTACGCTGTTCCGCCTATCGGAAATGCAACAGTACCTCGAAACCTACCGTTCCCTTCTATCGCGTGATTTATTATATTATTCCCGGTTAACCGAGCCACGGACAACTATGACCAGCTAATGGCCTATCGCGACAATTCGAGCCGTTCCTCCGCCGGTTACCTCGGGACGCGTGCATCGCGGGAATTATGCAATCGAACGAGCTGCTTTGAAGGATCCAACCGTGGGTTCCATGTGCCCTCATGTAGGTAGATGCTCTCCCACCTATGTCGTTCCTTACCAAGTACCAAGGTACAACTACTAGCGGTTGAAACCGCCAGCGAATACCAGCGAAGAAAATCATTCTGAATATTTAATCCGCAAATAGTCCAAGGTCACTTCTGGGTCACAGTATCCATTCGCATTCAACTTCCCTCGATATCAGCTGCTCAAATATTAAATAAAAAGTCACCTCAACGATCCAGGATTGAGCTGCTGGCTCTCCTATAGCTCGGGTACCTCGAGATCGCTAGCCTCGTACTGTAGCTGCGTACGCGCATGCTACAGCCCCTGAGGGTTGATTTACCTGATTTTAATTTCACTATCCTTGCTAGATTTGAAGATCAAGAATCATAATGAAGACTAGAGTGTGAATCGACCATGGGCATCACGCGGGTAAGGCCAAGCGTCGCCGCCACTGGCCATCCTCACCTGTCTGACGTCACACCCCCAGTGTCGGCGGCGTGAGCCCTTTCCCACGCGATGACACTAATAATGTACCTCTTCCACAAATACTTCAAGTGCAGAAAGTGATGTCGTAGCGATTGATTGAACAAAACAAACACAATCTGTTTATTCAAACAGATATCAGGAAACCAACAGGTTGTGCATACTATAAATAGAAAAATAAACGAACTGTTCCATCTTTTCGTTAAAATTAATCGCCGCAGGAGTCCTTTATCCACCTACTGTGAACGAGTCTCTGGTCCGACGAGCCCTGGCAACGTCGTAAAAGTCCTCTTCCTATTTCTACGACCGGTACGTACAGGTTCGAACGGCGAGCGTCCGTATCATTTCCAGCGGGCTGATTTATTGCATTATTCCGGGCGTCGAAGGCCGAACAACCGTGGCCACGGATCAACCTGGCCTGTTAATTCGATCTATTTTCTAGCCTGGGTACGGCTGTGTCGTGGTATTGCGGGGTGCGTCTCTTAGGCGATCACCCGATTGGGAGTCATACGCGTACCGGGTATTCGCCAAACACAGAGAAAGAGAGGTAACTGCCGAGATACTTCCTCTGCTCGTTTTTCCACGAGCAGGGAACGAGGAAACTATGGGCTCCTCGTGCACACGGGCTCATCGTCCGTCGCTGCTAGGGCCGGCGGATTAATTATGCGCGATAAAGTGCGTCGGACACGTGTAGCTACACGGTGCCGTATGCGCGCCTATGTCGCCGTCGCGACGTCACGACCGATCAGATATTTCCTGAAATAATGCCGCGCGCTGCCTCCTGCGCCCCCCTTGGCTCCCCTCGGACTCTGTTGGTTCGTGGCTGGCCGACGCATTCGGGGGTGCAAGTTGCATCGAGAATCCTTGAAAAGATGAGTGGGTATTCCTGTAGGACACTTGTGGGATTAAGTCTTTGGAAGTGCTCAAAGTACTCAGGTGTATAGGCAGAGTTTTCTAAATTCTGAATATACAAAGGATTAACCCTTTGCACTCGAGGGCTTTTTCGCTTGCGCGTACCAGAAACTCCAGACGATTTCGGCCAAATTCGCCAAACACTTTACAAGTACTTTAAAAACACTTATAAACAAACAAATGTATACAAATAATAAAATTCCACCAGTTTATTCATTTATATGTCGAAAACAACAAACTTCGATAAATATTACACTATGTAATTAATTTTGGTGTGATATTTTGGAAAACAATATCCAAGATGCATCCTAGGTTTGTTAGGACACGTATCATAGTAATACGAAATTTCCCGCCTACCTCCAGGCGTGTTACAGTCAGAACAAACCTTGCAGACCCTTTTTGACCCTTTTAGTATTACGCGAAGCTTCCCGTTTAGTCGGATTTCATCGGAATGCGACGTAGACGCTTGCTCTCGTTGCTGGTGATGTAATTTTCTCAATTGTTCGACAAGTGTTTTCAGAAATCGCAGATCGCTCAGTGGCTTTTCCTCTTTTTTGGTCTTTTCTAGTTTATACAAAATGTATGAATTGATCAGGGAAATTTCCATCTCCCCGAACAAAGCTTACGCCACCATTTAAGACTTCAAATCACGGGGCGCCGCTCTAGTTGACAGTTCAAATCGGCTGGACGCCGTATCGGTGCCGCTCGAGTGCAAAAGGTTAAAATTTTGTTTTTTAATTAAGTGGTATCGCAATATATCAAATACTGTCCATGCGTACCTAGTTGACCTGAGCGTTCTCGTGCCTCTTCAGGCATCAATTATTTCGTTAAATCGGCACGAAAGTTTAATTTCATCTTTCCTGTCATTTACATACAGAAAGCTAGTACATTTTGGTTCCCATCCCAAAAGTTGTATATCACGTGAGCTAGCGGATCAATACCTCGAGACGAGCGCGATAAGGCATTACCTTCGGAGATACATTAATATCCTGCTAATTTTTACTTAAATCAGAATTATTATACAAAGATTTGCATTATCCATTGAACAATAGATGAAGAATAGAATTTGAATGCAATGATATATGGGTTCTATACAATGCAATAGTGTAACGCATACAATTTCAATAAAATAACAGACAAATCGGTTTAAAAAAATTGTTTATTTAGCAAATATGTTAAGTTAAGGTACTTGCTATGGAATTGTAAAGAAAAAAGTAAAAAAAAATGAACTTCAATTGTTCTTAGCAGAGCGTGGTTTCGATCCACGGACCTCTGGGTTATGGGCCCAGCACGCTTCCACTGCGCCACTCTGCTGTTGTGATAGAGACTTTCTTAATTTCGCTTATAGGGGGATTAAAGCCAGACAGAAAAAATCAATAACTTGTGTCATTAATAATGTCAATATAACCTATAACAACGTGTCTTTGCGTGTGAGTCTTTGTCTATAGATAAACATTTTAATATTTTGACTGAAGTAACAATACTATTGAATGCATTTTTGTTTAACACCCTTTTACGTTGCATTATTTATTTATTTCTCAGTGGAAGACTGAAAATAAAATATGGTCGAGTGTTACAGTTTTTCAGTGAATAACTAAAATAAATTATTAACATTCTAACCTAGGAAAAAATATTTAGAGGTTGCTTTCATCGAAGCAGAGTGGCGCAGTGGAAGCGTGATGGGCCCATAACCCAGAGGTCCGTGGATCGAAACCATGCTCTGCTAAGTTTAATTTTTTTTTTGCTTTTCTATTTATTTCTTTTGCAATCATATACAGTGTTTATTTTTGTGACAAACAGTATCATATCGAGCCAGTACGTAAGGAATAAATGAATATTTTAATTTTTGTTATAAGACGTAATCATTCTAATCTGCTGGAAAAATTGTTAAGGGTTGTTTTCATCGAAGCAGAGTGGCGCAGTGGAAGCGTGCTGGGCCCATAACCCAGAGGTCCGTGGATCGAAACCACGCTCTGCTAAGAATACTTTTTCCTTTTTTTTTTATTTATTTTTCTTTCAATCATACACAGCAAACATTTTCATGATGAGCAATAATATATGAGGGTCGATTACAGGGTGTCTACGTATAACTTCGGACATACGGAGGGTGTCAATTCTACAACAAATTTCCAACAAAGAATTACTTTTAGACATTTTCTTTGTGTCGCCTTATTCTCGAGAATTTTCACTTTTAAGTACTTTTAAGTCACTTTTAAGAGTGTACAATTTTTGTTGACAATACCGTTCGAAAGCTGAGACTTCGAGGGAATTTTTCCCGAAGAGTGCCACCAAAAAACTATCTCTTTGAAAGCGTAAAATGAATACAGAAAAAGTCAAATTTTATTAAATTTTCACATTGTAAAGTTTGACCTAATTTTCACTTGTTAAATCTACATAATAAATTTGGATTTCACATCAGGGAGTTGGAAAATTTCAAGTCAAAAACGCAGAAAATATATTAAAAGTGAAAATTCTCGAGAATAAGGCGACACAAAGAAAATATCTAAAAGTAATTTTTTGTTAAAAATTTGTTGCAGAATTGACACCCTCCGTATGCCCGAACTTCTACGTAGACACCCTGTATAATGGATAATAGTAAATGCCACCCTACTTTATCTGACCATAAAGAAAAAGAAGATTCTGAAGTTATTCTAATCACAGTAAATGTAATGAAATGTCGGTGAAACATGAAAGAAAAAATGTCGATGATTACACAAAATGGTATGCAAAAGATTGTAACGGAAGTGGGAGAGTTAATTTAAAAAAAAAAACGTTCTTAGCAGAGCGTGGTTTCGATCCACGGACCTCTGGGTTATGGGCCCAGCACGCTTCCACTGCGCCACTCTGCTTCGTTGAAAACAACCCGTAAAAATTTTTTCAGCAGGTTAGGATACCTCCACAGTCATCTCAGAAGATTAACTGGGGGAATAGGGACACAATGGCGAAAGCTTAACGTCCCTGAGCTAGGCACCTTCGTAAAACTTTTAGATTTTTACATTTACACTAGGTTACCTTCATCCTATAACAATTAAAATATTTATTTATTCCTTATGTACAACCTTGATACGTCACTGTTCATCGCGACAATTTTTACCGTATGTAATTGAAAAAAAAAATAAATTAAACTTATCAGAGCGTGGTTTCGATCTACGGACCTTTGGGACCCCGTCCAAAACGCTTCCACTGCGCCACTCTGCTTCGACGAAAACCACCCCTAAATATTATTTCAGCAGGTTAGATAGCCTTCGTCTTAGATTTATAAAATAATATCCACCTTGAACATGTTGAATATATATGTTGGTACTCGACCTCAAAACTCTTTCAATTTTCTATTTATTCATGAAACAACGTTCCTTTTCTGTCGCAGTCCGACATCGTCCATCAAAGTGTCTACGAATTGGTACACAGCGAAGATCGAGAGGAATTGCAAAGGCAGTTGATGTGGAACTCTTTTCTACCAGCGGAAAGTGCGAGCCTCCCCCTTCACGACGCCCTCTCGCCCCAACACAACCATCTTCTGGAACGCAGTTTCACCGTACGCTTCCGGTGTCTTCTGGACAACACGTCTGGTTTCCTGGTTAGTATAATTTTACCTACATTTTCGTATATTTAAATATTTATTCAACTATCTATCTATCCCTAAACAAAATGATTAATGAATAACAATAACAGTAAACGGGGACGTGTGCAAACATTTGTAAGAAGAGATACAAACATTCCTCCTCTCATCGTTTGTTTCGCCGATCACGTTCGTCTTTGGAGTACACGGTAGCACAATACTTCCTCGTCGCGAATGAACACCATCCAGCATAAAATAAACAGCAATTTCGGTCCAATTCCCCGTGTCGGAGATACAGGCTCGCCACTGTACACGTCGATCCTCGCGATCAATTAAACGCCGAACACACGCCAGCAAACGAAGGTGTATGCAAATGCCTCTGACGGATACTCGAGTTAAATAATCGCAATACAAGGTCTACGGTCTGTTTGGCAACGGCTTGCTTACACGACAGCAGCGCACTATGCCTTCATGGGGTTCGAGACAGAATTAGAATTCCTCTTCGAAAAAGAAAACGAATAAAGATGTACGGTACCATTGAAGGGAGTATTGATGCCCTTGAAATCTCATAAAAATTACATTGGAGAGACAGAGTAGATCCTGTTTAACAAGGGAACATATCCAATTGTCCGTCTCTGATTTTGTTGAAACTTGGTGGGTATGTTAAGCAGACGAAAATAAGTGATACGTATTTTTTTATAGCTGCTTATAAGAAATCTTCTTAGGGAAAAGTTTCATGGTTTCATGAGGTAAAACACAAAGTGGTTACAGATTTTGTAAAATGTAATTTGTTTATAACAAAAAAATTTGTTGTTACATTATTTTAGGAGATACAAAAATTTATATAACGACAAAAATGAACGGAAATTGCTTTCCGAATTCATTGATATATAATACGATACATTTGCCTCCTACTATTTCAACCCCTAAACTTGCAATTGGGCAGCTATAAAAAAAAAATACGTATCCTTTATTTTCACCTGCTTAATGTACCCACCAAGTTGGATATGTTCCTTTGTAAGAGGCGTTTAGGTTTGTCTCGATTCCTTCTTTGGAAAATGTTTAAAGATAAAAAGGTTTTAGGATTCTCTTTAGGCGGCCCTAGGTAGACGTCCTTTGCCTATAGGGTAATGCGCCACTGGTACGAGGGACTTCTTCACGCTCGGTATACAAAACAATAATTAATAATTTCACTGTCGTAAAGAGGAAGGAGTGAAGTTAGGGACCGCCACCGGTTCTGTTTCCTTTTCTCTCGAGTAATTGCTTTTTTCCAGTCGCGCCTTGAATCTTCCACTTCTGCCTTTGTTCCTCCCGCGCCGGACCTCTTCGACCTGTTCTAGCCCTCGCAAAAAGGACGAAGCTATTCGCCAGCGTCCCGTGTACAAGTCGCGAACACATAATGTGTTTTCAAATATCCAAGTAATGAATTTAAGAAATATTTAATTTTTCTTCGCTGAAAAAATTAATTCTGAGAGTTGAGTGTCGAAGAAAATGAATTTGAATGAAATACTTGCATTTCGATCAAGTTACAGTACACAAAATTTAATCAGAGTAGACATCTTCAATAGTATTAGTCTGGCAGTCAACGTGTTAACGAATTTGCAATTTGAAAGTACACGTATGCGTACAAATAAATATTTTTAAAAAAGTTGACTGAATAAAAAATAGGCTGAAGAAGAAGTACGAGGAAAAAATGTTCTATTCCTTCTCTATCTTGTTTTTATCCTGCGCCAAGGGGTTCTCTTCCCCAAAAATGGCAAAAACTTTGTTCCATAGTGGGTGGTAATTATGACCAACAGAATCCACCGAGGATAGCATTAAATTCTGGGTAAAAAAACACACTTCCGCCAAGAAAAAAGCCCCAGTAATTCCATTCACCCGGATACCAGGGAGAAAAAACAGAGTAATTACTGGCGAACAGGGCGAAACCACCCCCTTTCCTACGCAATTAAGTACCATTATCGCGAGCCACGGGGTTAAATGCGGCTCTCAGTAGCAATTATGAAAATTTGATGTCGTAAAAATCCGATCGATAACTCGCGACCAACGATCGTACTCGAGAGTCCCGTCCCGAGAATTCTCGAAATTTTTCAACACCGAATTTCTGTCCTCTTTTCACGAAGAAGTTAAAAATTAAACACAGACTGAAATGCGTGACGAACATAATAAAATGATTTTATTTTGAAAATTTCGAGTAAAATCACAGTCACTAGTTGCGACGATCCATCGAACGTTCTTATGGGGGTGGAGTGGAGGGAGGTGGTTATCGTTAGATGCCAAACGAGGAGAAAAGTCCTTCGGAGGTCGAAGTATCATCCCCGGTCGCGTGACCTTGTGTTTCAATGAATGAAGTAAAGCCACGTTGCGTACTCGTGAAATGCTCACGGAATTGCGATGGGGCATGCGAGATACTCTCGAGACTCGATATCGATTTCATTTTTGGCGGGGAGCAGACGAAGACACGTTTACTCTCGGAAATTACGTAATAGTTATCAAACAAAATAATTCCCTCTCCGAATTAATCCTCTTGCATTTTTTTTTATTATTTTTAATTAATTCAAGAGTATACAAATAACCAACGAAAGTGTTTTTAAAAAATTCACACAAAAAAGGATTAACTTCGAAATGAACTCGAACTAGAGAGTTAGCCTGGGCGTCTGGGTGTCGTTCTCGCCGTAAAGCTTTTACGATTACAGTTTCATTTTCATAAACGTCAGAGCAGACGTCTTTTTGCGCGGTTGGCATGGGTCAGGACGAATTGCGAGCTCCCGTGGGCCCTTTATAGTCTTTGTCCCGCGTACCTCTGTATTTGCTAGCTGTTTGCTGTAAGGTAATTAGTGTTTTGCCGCCACTGCGACTGGCTGACCAAAGGCTGGACCCGCTTTTGCCCAGGCCTTGATTTATGCCTCTTTTCGCGGACGACGAACGACCCTGCGACAGGCAACGCCATTGTGTAGGGTTTTGTCGCATCAGTAATCAAACTAAATGGCGAGAAAGATCTGGCACCTGGTAGTCACGAGTGTTACCAAAGGTTCAATCAATCTGTCCTGTGAAGATCACTCTTATAAAATGATTGCCTAGCCACCTTAAAACACCGAAGTAGTCTTGACATCCTCTTTGCTTAAGTTCTCACCAGATCCTCCTCGGTTTCAGCGTCTGGACATCAGAGGACGCGTGAAGATCCTTCACGGGCAAAACAGGAAAACGGAAGAACCACCGTTAGCTCTGTTTGCCCTGTGTACACCTTTTGGACCACCATCCCTCCTGGAAGTGCCACAGAAGGACGTGATGTTCAAGAGCAAACACAAACTGGATCTAGCGCTAGTGTCGATGGACCAACGAGGAAAGATGCTGCTTGGGTACTCGGACGCGGAGCTTGGGAACCTCGGTGGCTACGATCTAGTCCATTACGACGATTTGGCCTACGTGGCGAGTGCTCACCAAGAACGTAAGCAATAATTTCAGCCAGTTGATCTCGTCGAAAGTTCGAAAACAGTTTGTACAATCTCTGGTATCCGATTTCAGTGCTGAAAACTGGAGCCTCGGGCATGATAGCGTACAGATTCCAGAAGAAGGACGGTGGATGGCAGTGGCTGCAGACCAGTTCCAGATTGGTCTACAAAAACTCGAAGCCTGACTTCGTCATTAGCACACACAGACCCCTCATGTAAGTACAGCGGGGAGGGGTTCTTTAACACGCTCACCGCGGTACCGAGCACGTATCGTACCTCGGTTCCGTGCGAGCCATATCTCATTCAACCTTCGCTACATGTTAAGACGACGTCTGCGCCTGGGGAGTACAAGTCCGTCAGAAAAAAGCTATATGCTTATCTTTCTGGCCGGACACGAGCGTCAAGTACAAAGCGTAATTGACAAGACCTCTGTCCTATGCAGAATTAAAAAATTCACTAAATACTTTTGCCTTGTATCTATGGAAGCATTGACGTACTTAACCTCTGCTATCGATTGTTAAACTTTATCGATAGAGCTACCCCAGTCACTGCGTTGAACCTGAAGGTGTTGCCATGTAGCCAAAACGAATGACCAACTTTTTCACTCGACAGGGAGGAGGAAGGCAGGGATCTCCTCGGGAAGCGAACGATGGACTTCAAAGTAAGCTACCTGGATGCCGGACTGACCAACAGCTACTTCTCGGACAGCGATAGTATCACGGGGTCCGTAATGACCCCGACGTTGCCAAGCCAGCCAACGTCCCAGCGAGTGAACAGGCGGTACAAGACGCAACTGAGGGACTTCCTGTCGACCTGTCGGAACAAGCGCACCAAGCTTTCCGCACAGTCGTCGGTGTCGCCGCCAGTCACGCCAACGGTAGCGTCCGTGGACTATCTCGCGGCGGATACTAGCGCCGCTGCCGCGGTGGCGGCAGCGTACAGCAACTTGAACACGATGTACCCGACACCGTATGCACCAACGGCGGTCGCTGCGAGCACGGATCCCTCGTTGACCACGTACATTGGTCACACGGGCAACTACCATCAGACGCTCTACCCGGCCACTGCGTTGGACAATAGGTGAGGATGGTGGGATCTGCAATTAGAGGAGTATTGGCTTGGGAGCTTTGATTTTTAACTTGGAAATTCCCCGGACAGCCTATCGGTGATGTAGGACCCACACAACCCCCAGTTAGGTCTCCTTAGAATAGTTCTTGATTATACCTATGCTTTAAGTATGGTCCTCAGCTACATAGTCCAGGACCACTCTAATAAGAGCACTGCAAGTTAATCCACAAATTCCAATCCTCAGGTACCTCACTGCAGCGACGGAGAACCTGTTCCAGTACAGGCCTCTGGGTTCCTACTACCCAGATTACCACACGAGTACCCCGTACAACGGATTCATAGACGTCTCCCTGCCCACCTACGAGACGCACCAGCTGACGAGCAAAGCCGAGGAGAAACTGTACTGCCAGCAATTAGGCGAGTCTCCCAAGTACAGCTACGTGGAGACGAGACACCCCAGCAGCGTTAGTGGTTCACCTTACGCGGCAAGTCCGGTTGCAAGCGCGTCGACTATGCACACGGCAACAGCCGACATCAACACCGTTCGCGCGGGCAGCAGGCACTCCTTGGAAGGTGGTGCATCGTCCAGCAATTCGGCTGGGAGTTCTCCGGTGACCGGACCGACGAACGGAGTGCTCACACCGAAGATAGAAGATGTTAAGCCCGAGGTTTACGGAAACGAGGCGCCTCGACAGACAGTCCTGATGTGGGGGGCGCCACCTTCGCGCACACCTCCGAGGAACAACGGTAGCTACAGCCCGCCAACGCCGCATTCCACCCATTCATCCACCCATTCCACCAACGCCACGACCGGGGATCCCCTGAAATCCTTGGCAGAGATGAACTCCATGAACGGGGAGTGCAAATGGCGGCAGACATCCCCCGGCGAGCAACAAACGACCGCTCCCAGTTCCCCTAGAACCAAGGCGCAGTCTCAGCAGCAGCATCAACATCATCAACAGCAGCAACAGCAACAGCAGTACCCAGTGACTACGTCACAGTATCAAGCGGCGGCGGCGGCCGCGGCCGCAGCTGCAGCTGCAGCGGCCAGCACTATCGGATACGCGCACTCTCATCCGGGCCATGGCCACGGGGAAGCGGGCTCCGAGGTATGGCAAGGAGTGCAACACCACCACTACCAGTACTATCCCTACCACCATCACCACCCCGCACCACCAAGGCACGCGCCCCAGTGAGTGTCACTGCCGCCTCACAGATTTTATGAAAACATAGAGAACTTTGATGATACCGATTATTTTGTACAATGAACAATTAACGTAGAATACGATCGAACCTCGTCTCTAGGTATTCGTCTATTGGGCATGCATGATCCGAGCACCGAATAGTTTTTGCAATCAAGTAAACACGATCGATCGATCACATCAGTCGCGCACGGAGAGATCGCACCTGAAATCGAGGTGGCGCCATCCAACGGATCCTACTCGACTTCAGGTGCAAACTCTCCGGGCGCGGCAATTACATGTTGCATGTCCGCATTTTTATTTTCCAACTTGACAATTATTGCCGAGTAAAGCGTCTTTTTCTTTCTTCATAGAATAGCTTCAGGAATCGTGGAAAATGTTATCTAACGGTCTGTGTTATGTGGACAGATCCATTGTATTAAAAGACTCGAGTATTGCGTTGAATTGAAAAGCTACAGAGGTGAAATAATGTAATACCGCAATGACAGGTTCGAACGAGGGGTTGAAAGGGGTTGCGAATAACAGGTGAACGCACTGTCGGTTGCAGCACACCCCCGTCAGCTGTGGGAACGGGGACGGGAGTCGGCATGGGCATCGGCCAGGACAGCAACACCAACAACAGCAACGTCTTGTACCACCCTCCGCACCACCACCCTCAGCACCAACACGTGGGGTCATCGGGGGGAATGGGCTCAACTGTCCCACAGATTCCAAACCGGACGCCGGGAGTCCTTTGCTGTCCATCTCTGAGGTGACTAACACCCTGCTCAACCAATAGTCTCTTCGTGACCTCAGCATCGCTCCGTTTTAGTGATCAAGGTGACTCTTCTTACTTATCTGGTTTGGAAATGATATATAGGGTGTGAGATTCAGGAGCTTTTGCTCCCGCACTAACCCCACTTTGAATTGTGGGTTTCATGTCAATTGCACATAATAAAACGTGATTTTGTTTTCAATTGTTCGCAGATATCTCACAGGAGATGGTTTCACCGGGCCGGATCGCAAGACGCGCGACTGTACCATACAGATAATATTGGTTAAACTGTTAAGAGTATTCTCGTATAGTGCTGTAACATAACATACTCATTACAGTTAATGTATCCGACGTTGCTACGACGTATGTGTATGTATGCCTGATTACGTTAGCTCATCCGTATCGTTAAGTTCCACACAAAAGTTCTCCGGGGGACGTGCATTTCGAAGTTTCAAAAGTGAACACGCGTGAAAGGCGATCATCACGGTGCATCCTACGATCTCGCCGCCATTTTAGATTAACGTTTACGTTGGAACGGTAGAATAATAGGGGGCGGGGGGGGGGGGGGGGGGGGGAGGAGAAAAATTTACGTTTTTTCAAATTTAATTCTAAGATAAACAAGTCCCCCGGAGAACTTTTGTGTGGAAC